AATGTTTTTAAGAAGTCGAAAAATATGGCGCCGGATGTGAGTCCATCATCTTCAGTCTTCAGCTTGGGTTAAGCTGTCCATAAACACGAGCACGTCCGTCACGCAAGAACGGTTCTGGAAAAAATCGGTGATAAACTGGAAATGTCAACTTGTTGGAAGTTAGATTATCCAGGATATGTTGCTTCAGAATGCGCCCCATCACCTTGCGCTGCAAACCAATGAAGTTTACAGGCCTGTAGCCGCCAGGCAATGGTCGGTCAGTATTTTTGTAGATTGGTGTAACGATTGCTTCCTTCCAAACAGAAGGAAGGCGGCCTTCGTCAAACAACTGACGAAACACCGGGTAGAATTGTTTTACCTGCTTAAACGAAGTTTCCTTCAGAATCCTTGGGTACACTTCACCGGGCTCCAACGCGCAGAATGTGTTGATCTTGTGCGAAATTCTACAAAGGTCCTCCACCAAACAAAGTGGGCCACTCAGGAGAAAAATAACCGACGCCATATCGGACCCAGTTGATTGGCCGAGCATCATCGGACCCAGGAGGGTACCTTTTTTATAAACGGTTATCTGGAACGTTTCAAAAAAATGTTCACCCTTTTGGATTAAGCATGTCAGATGGTTGGCAAATAATTTCAGCAGGCATTCCTCCACGCAATGATATCTGCCGAGGTCTTCCAGAGGCTAGAGTAACTGCCGACAGATCGTACGTAGATGGTAACATGCACTGATTACGCTTCAATGACTGAATAAGAACAAAGCACTAGCACAATAGTACTATATGGACAAGGCAAACAAATATCAACCATCGCCCACTGTCGCCAATCGGCAGCTGGACCTAAGTTGGAACCAATGCTGTCAACACATTCTTACCGGGTAATGTGGCGAACATTAGAGAACCTGTTTGGCCCAAGTGACTTTGATTCGATCTTCTGAGTTCGACAACTTGAAGATGACAGCTACCTGGTGAGCATATCCAGACAGCCTGAGCGTATCTGCCTGAGCAGTATGCCTCGACTGAGAGCCACAGCATATACTTCCTGATTTTAATGAAGATTTCTTGCAGACAAGTCTCGTTTATCTAGTGCTTAGTATTTATTTAGTAATACCGGTATGGGACTAAGAGTTTTAACTTGGATTTTCTAATGTCCCAGGAGCATATTTAATCGGGTGGTGGTCAAGAACCCATCGGGTGTAAATTTTTGGTAGAGGAGAGGGATTGTGAGGGATCTCGGCGCTCGAGTCCATCCTTATTAACACAGGCATTTTCATGGAATCGCCATCCAAGGTTCTGCCTTTGAAAACGTAGGAGAAAGGAAAGCTGCAAGAAGGGTGTTGATGGAACCGGAGTGAATTTTTCATACAATCTATACAGCGCAACCCTCAGATATTCTCTACACTTACGTTTTATTAACCCACAGGTTCAACCATGGCATTAGCCCCGCCGGACTCCTTGAGTAACGTCAGAGCCTTGTATAACACAGTCATCTAGATCACTGGGAATACATTCTGGAAGGATAGTCACTACCACCAGCCCAAAATAGAACATGCAAAAAACTGTACAAACTAAATTGGCAGCTACTTGACTATTTTTGGAATAATTGACATTTACGTTCAGGATGTGCGTTTCTTTTGCGGACCATCAGAAACTAGGAGAATACGAACGGAGACCTTACGTAATAAAGAAAAAAACCGGTGGAGTCACTTGGTGATTCATGGTGGGTAAGCTGGTAAAAATCCAGCGGGGCGTAGATTCGCGTAGGAAGTTTTTTTTAAATTCATTGCAGCGTAATGGTGGGTGGCTGAATAAGGAGTGTGTTATCTTTTACTATCAGCGGTGTTAAGGTCAACGGGGTCACTTGCACCTAATATGGCATATCATGGAGGTAATGGGTTTCGCAGTACTAAGCTGATGTTTGTCCAAAGGGGTATTGTGAGGGTAACAAGCAGGCGGTCAGTTAACGATGAGGTTGCTCGAGCGGGCATTTTACATGCAATCGGCTATTTTAGTGTGAGACAACGTGAGCTCGTAACTTGCCAACAAAACGGCATGACTCAAATTTCGCTGATCAAGGCGTCGTTATTCAGAGAGCAAAAAACTACCAAAGGGCAAGAAAACTGAGAAGAACCGGGTTGGTAAACGTTGGATCAGGTACATTTTTCTGCTTGGAGAACTGTGCAAGGAGATAAAGGTCGGCATATTATACATACAAGTA